AGACCTAGGAAACTTTGGAAGAAACCCTAAGAAAAGACTTAGAGTACTTGGATCTAACGGAGGACATGACACAAAACCGAGCGCAATGGCGTTCTAGGATTCATATAGCCGACCCCACTTAGTGGGAAAAGGCTTTGTTGTTGATGTTGTTGTTGTTGTTGTTGATATACAAACAGCAGTGCAGTCGTATTGTGTTATTGAAATATTGATCAGCCGGCAAAATTAGTATACTTTGCCGTGCAAAATAATGCTTTTCTTGTTGAGAAAGAAGCTGGGAACGAAAGTTACAGTTCTTTGTTCTGTAACTTGTATTTTGTATGATATGCAAATGGAATCACAAAGTCAATAGAAAATGGTTTATAAGCGTACCTGCACGAAGGCCCAGCCGTTGCCATATCGGAAGATGCCCTCCATGACTCTGAGACAGCAATGTGCACAAGAAAACATGAACTCATCTTCCCCCTCGAGTAAATTTAAACCCCGAGCAACAATTCTCAGGGCTTCAATTGCAGGAACAAAGAGAGATCCAAAACAAGCACTTCCAAGATTTTTACTCAAGGCTCTTTGGAAGCAAAACTGAGTATTAGACTGCATTCCTCTGAGATAATACAGAGAAATTACCCTACTGACGGTTATATTTGCAACGTTCCTCATTACTTCAGTTGTCCAAGCTAAGCTCAAGACCAATAAAATTATGATCAATGGAGGAAAGTAGAAATTCAGGGCTCCAATGACAGCTAGATTCCACAGGGACATCCACAGAAATCCGACCCCAAGCATCCAATAAGTCGGTTGATTCAAATCGGGGAACTTTGATACTGGTTCTAGCGATTTGATCAATATCTTGCTACAAAATCCAATCCGATGTGTGATCCAACAAGCATATAAGCCGTTGCCGATTGCGAAGGCAATAAAACAGACTCCGACGCCATTGGTGGGAGGCTTTTGGAAGCAAATTAGCAGAATTCCGGCAGATAGAGACATGAGAAAAGTGGTCCATAGTATGAAGTGAACAAAAAACATCGGCCATAGCCTCACTGCCTTTTGCCATGCAAATGCAAGAGTAATGCTTAAAAAAGATGCGGCTTCGACTTGTGGTAGAAAAAACTTCAACACTCGTTTCTCGGCTCTTTTAACCTTGTTGTCTGATGATTCTATCAGCCCCTTAACTCCCCGGAATAGAAGAAAACCGACTAGCCCAATGGCGGCAACCGTGTGAAAAATAAACAGGAACAAACATATCTTGTTGGTGAATTTCCTGGAATTCAGTGTTGTGATGGATGGCTGACCAAAAAATTGAGGGAAAACCCATCAAAATATCAGATTGCTAATTCAAAAATTCTCCCCAGAAAATCCATGCTCTACCAGATAAATAGCTTGTATCATTTCCTTTCCAAAATGATTAAAGATAAGATATCTAGAGAAATAAATTAATATGGTTCAAACTTTCAAGAACAAAAATGAGATATCTTTGTTTAATCTTTCTTAAACATCACTTAAAAACTTTTATTTTTGTTTTAATGGGAAAGAAAAAAAGAGAAGAAAAAGAAAACTTACTTGTGGGGTTGGTGTAGAACGAGGCTGAGAATGCTGGGGACTGTTAGTGTGAGAGGAGAACTGAGAAGGAGGAGTAGGAGTAGCAGTAGCACCGCCTCTGATATTAGAGATCCGTGACGGCGGCGGTGGCGGAGTTGCAGTTCTGGTTTTGCTATTTATTACAATTCTCAAAGGGTTTGTTGGATTCAGCCTCTGCAGCATTGACACATGAACATCTCCTTCTCTCTCGTTCTGATTAATATTATTATTTCCATGATTAATATTAATATTTCTCTGAGCTCCCACCGCCTGTTCTTCAAAACCCATCTCCCCTTGCTCAACATCTCTCACCCCCTGCTCCGCCTCCTGCTTCCTCCCAATTTCCTCTCTCTCCTCAAGCTCCTCTCTTTCTCTCTCCTCCACCTGCACGCCATGGCAAAGCTCAGACGTTTTGACATTAATTAAAATGAACAGAGCAAATAAACAGCAAAGAGAAAAATTAAAAATCAGGAATGAGAAATGAGAAAGATGGGTTGTGTTACAGGCTCTGCGGCACCCATGTCGGCGGCGGTGACGTGGCGCGGGTGGCAGCGGATGTGGAAGTCCGCCGCGGCGGTGGTAGTGGTGCTGTTGTCGGGAATATATGTTTGGTGTTTTGTTAGGTGTGTTCTGTACGTATTTGTGTATTTATCTCTCGACAATCCATCTATCTATTTATCCATGGTGGTGGACCGACGGTGTTGGTGTTGGTGCTGGTGGATGCTGATGTTTATTGGCTCTCCTCTCTCTTTCAGCTTTTATTTTACAAACTTAATTACCTGAGAGTTTCTGAGGTACATGTCGGTTCATCGTGAGTCATGTTCAATAAAATAATTTCTTTTGTTTATAGAAGAAAACTTTTTAATGTATCTGAAACACGTCGTAGATACATTTTTTGGTGAATCGAATTCAAAGAGATACACTGTTTATTGCGGTAATTTTAAAGAGACAATTGGAAAGTAAACATAGAGTAAAACATATAAATTATGTTTTTATTTATAATACGTGATGTATTAATTTGTGTTTCAAATTTATTCTATCCTCGTAAATGATTTTGAGAAATGTTTTGTGGATGAAGAATTAATGGACGGATGAGATTAAATAATGGAAATGAGTAACGGTGGCATAAGAAGTTTTGACTTTTGTGTGGGAAAAGGAGAGAGAGACGTATGCAAGAAGGGAAGGGAACCCCACCTTATCGTCCTTGTAATTCCAAGCCGTGCAAGCAAAGACACGTTAAACTGTTAGTCTGTTGCTACATTTCTGTTACTATTGAAGATTATAATCGTTTTTTAATTTTAACTCAATTAAAATAATAAATTTTTAATTAAAAATTTGTGATTATTGATCGTTTAATTCGTTAAATCAAGATTAAAGGATTATTGTTTCAATAGAGTTCAAGTTTAAAGACCATTTCTATAATTGGATTAAAATTAAGAAATCATTGCTATAATTTTCTCATTTGATTTTCTATATCTAACCTTTGATTCAGCCTTATGTGTGGTGCATGACTTATTTGGTTTTCCATATTTGCTTCATTGCTACAATTTTCAAACTTCTCACTATTTACTACATTTATGTCAATTTTGAGAAACGTTACGTTATTTGACATCCATAAATTGCTTACGTTTACCAATTGAGATTGGTAACAAACAACAAGAAGCAAACAAAATATATTAAGTCCCCAAATTAAATTATGTCAAGATGATTTTATATGGTAGTTTTCAATATTTAAAAACAAAAGAAACCGAAATATTACTGATGTTAGTAGTTCCATATTATTAAGTTATTTTCTTTAGACAACAATTAAGGTTAGTAACGTTTGCGTTAGTTACTTGTGATTTTAATCGATCGACTCATAACGGTTGATTTTGTATCATATAATGATGGTTTTTATACATAAAACTGGCTTGAGCTTATATTATTATTCAAAACGTTCACATCCAAAGTAAAAAATTTCATTCGAACCTAACAAAAATCTTTATTATTTGAAAATAATAAAGCTATTTATTTTTCAGTGAATAGTACTTTATGAACTTGTTCAAATCATAATGAGTTATTGCATGCTTGGTTTGACCAGGACGAAAGCTTGACGACTAGAATTTGAGATAGTCAAAGTGGAATCCGAGAACTACATGGACCGGAAACTCCACGTGGATGTGACAGACCACATGTGGGCCCTGTCTACTTTGGCTGTGAAACTGCAAACGTGGTTAATGTTAGTGGAATCCGGATCTTGATTGCGAGGATTTTGGAAATTTATGAATTGTATTCATTCATTGTATATCGTACAGTCAAAAATTATTTTAAATATTTTTATTTAAAATTAAACTTAAACAGTATTTGACAAAAATTAATCTCATGATAAGCAATAAACGGTTACGATTCATGGATTCTTAGAATTCTCACCAAAAGAATTAAGAGAGGATTCTGTTAGATGTTAGTGGGCCTGGGCCATTAGATTGGATGACTCATATACACGTCAATTTCTCTTATGTGTCCGTGTCACTGTCATTATGGCTTCAAGGATAGAAAATGACATGGATGACTCATAGACACCTCAAATTTCTCTTATGTCTCCTGTTTAGTTTTTTTATATTTTTTAAATATTAATATAATTATTACATAATAACAATAACAACAACAACTAAACTTTATATTGAATTAAGTAGGGTTGGTTGTATGAATTTTAGAATGTCACTCAGCTCAATTTTGCGTCTTATCTTGCGTTGGCTCCAATTACTCTATATATTTTCTTAAAGTCTTTTTCCAAATCTTTTTAGGTCTTCCTCTACTTCTTTTACGTTGAACCTCCGTCTCATGGTCACATATTTTAACCGGAACATTTATAGGTCTTCGGTTCACATGTCCAAATCACCTTAACTGATTTTCTCTCATCGTAACTTCAATTGCGGGCACTCCTGCTTTACCTCAGATATCCTCGTTCTTGATCTTATCATTTCTCAAGTGCCCGCACATCCAACAAAACATTCTCATCTTCATTACACTCAATTTTTGCACTTGTTAATTTTTTACCGCAGAACATTCCATGTCATAAAGCATTGCTGGTATTATTGCTATTTTGTAAATATTTACTTGAGCTTTAGTGGTACACGATGATCGCACAACATATCCAATGCACTCTTCCACTTCATCGATCCAGTCTGTAAAAAATTATATTGAATTTGTTCAAATTTTAGAGAGGAAAAATTCAAACTTAGGCGTAGGGAGTAAACTACATTGTTCTACCCAAATTGACTAAACACAGATCTGCAATATTAACTTACAAGTATTTAGATCCCATTAGGACTAAACACATGTTTCTCTCAAAGCAGTCTACACAAAAGGAAATTTGAAATCGGGTGCGTTGATCTAACCAACGTAGCATTGTTAATGTTAGCTTCTCAATTTCGAGTATCAAACGATTCAAACGAGGGATCTTTAACAAGACTAAATTAGATGAAACAGAATAAGCTGTATTGGAATTGATACAAACAAGTAACAGGTCACATTCCGAAACTTTAAGACCCAATCAAATGCTGCAAACTATATAACGAGGGCACAACATAACAGCACAAAATTTGCAACGAGGGTTTGTTTCAAGTGTTTCCAGACAACCTATCACTCTCCGCATCCATAGTTTCACAAGCTTTCGCGACTACTATTGCTTCGCATTGTTACCGGAGTCCTGAGGTGTTTTGACTATACTTAACTGGCCACCTTCCTTGTTTGCAGCGGTGGCCGCCTTCACCTCATTGCAGTGGTTTATGAACTTTGTTATCTCCTGAATTCATCAAATAAGAAAGTAACAAGGTAAGAAGCTAGAAGCAAGAAGGGATGTAAAGCAACCGGCAACAAGGAAATAGCAACCGATTTCCATATGATGAAATTACTGAATTACCACCTAATAGAAAGGAATCCTGAGAAAAATATAGGTTTCCACATCCTGTAAATCCAAAAACGGATGAATGCTGATGACGGAATCTAGGAGCACATCCAATAAAGTGTTACAATGAGAGAACTATTTAGATTAGTGAGGTTGATTAGATAGTTATTTACTTCAAAGGTTTATTTTTTGTACTAACGGGGATCTAACAAGGTGACTGGAACTCTCAACTTCCTGCACTATGACATATACAAATTTTCACAAACCTCATCTCCACGAACCTCAGATGACATATACAAATTTTCGGGTACTCGTTAATTATGAGAATAAATGGAAAACAAAAAAAAAGGGTAATGCACAAATACTACTCACTTAAGAAACTATCTTACACATTAAAAGAAACCCCAAAATAGCACCGCGGTTGCTACAGAATATATAGATTAGCTACAGTCAGAATCATTTAAGATTTGCGGGCGGCATCATGAATAATGACAGTTTATAAACATGTGATGTAGCAAACAGCAGACAATTGTAGTTGAGGAAAACAAAAACACAGAAGACCTCTTCCTATTTACTTCACACGTACAAGAAGAAATCCATAGTAGCATTGTAGAATAAAGTTGTGTTTTCAAAGCTATTCCGTACATTGGTGAAACATAAACTTACCCAAAAATAAGAAAGGAAATGAAACAGAGCAAGGAAGGGGGCCAAAAGCCTGTTTGGGATTTCTTCTATAGAAAGAAAGCACTTCTGCTAGAAGTGCTTCCAGAATAAGCATCTGGGAGGTGCTTCTCCATAAAGCGCTTCTATGAACCAGAAGCACTTCAAAGTTCAAATTTTTCTTCCAAAGGCAACCAAAAGTGCTTTTGAAGCAATCCCAAACAAAATCCTATGGACATATCAGTGCAAGAGGTTTGATTTTTCCTAACCGAATGAACGACATAACCTTCTATCCTCAGAGAAAGAATTTCGCTTAGAGCAACTCCTCAATCAAATGCCCCAACTAAATACTCTTAAGTCAATCAACTTTACTGCATAATTACTACCAAAAAATTCTTTAAAAAATAAAGAACAAATTAATGGAATTCAAATGAATCAAAAACCAATTAAACAGAACATAAAAGCTCTCAATTTACAATTTTCGTTGATCACAAACAGCTAGGGTTCAGTGAAATTAGCACAGAAATTGACAATTCTGGACTGAAATTAATCATAACCAATCAAATCACATAATACAAAAGCATGAGCGAGAGAGAGAGAGAGAGAGAGAGAGAGAGAGAGAGAAAGAGAGAGAGAGAGAGAAGGGAAGAAACATACCCGATCGGAATCCATGTCACCGGTGACCTTGGAAGGCTTAATTACTCGCTTGCCTTTGCGAATTTGAGTCATTTTTCCATGGCGGTTGGGAGGAATCGTCTTCCTCTTCTGCTGCCCTTTGAACAGCTTCCCTTTCTGCGTCATCTCTCTTCCGACTTCTCACTTCTCTGTTCACCGCTTCAGCCTTCTCTTTTCTTTTCTACTGGGACTAGGGTTTTGTTCAGGGTTTTAGGTTTTGGGTATTTCTCTCCGCACCCAATGATATGCTCAATTAACCCAACAATCCAAATAAATTATCATATTCCCAGATATACCCTTGTGGTCGATATCTCTAAAATTACATTTTGCCATCCTAGTTTAAGCTTTTTCAATTTTATCCTTTAGTTTCGTTTTTTATATAATGAAATGTTGCAATGAGGATGAGAAAATAAATTAGTATAAAAGTATAAAACTGGTCATCAATGAGATTCGAGTCTAAGACATTTTACTTATATATGAAGTTAGAATACAAAATAAATGACAATTTTGTGCTCCTAGTTGGCAGTTATCTAATGGTCCAAGTAAATTTCGAAATCTGATGCTGGTGTGGAAACCAGACTTGTGGTCGGAGAGAAGCTGAAATGTCTCTGTGAGTCTTTCCGGTCCTCGGAAGAGGTGATAACCGTGGCTTATCACTAGTTGTCTCTCATTTTTCCAAAAAATAAAAAAATAAAAATCGTCCAAGTAAGCAATTATTTCTTTAATCTTTGGATTGCAAAAATTTCATTCCCGAAAAAGAAATGTTACTTATCATTAATGATAAACTTCTTAACTCGTATGTTGAAGATCTTATATAAGTTCAACTCTAACAAATATTAAGTTTGATACGAAAAAATTATGATTGATCTATCGTGTGTTTTACCCAAAACCTTCTTGAGGAGAATTCTAATTCATAATCTGACATTTTACAAAACGAAAGTTGATTCTCAATTGTATGAGTTGTAGAATTGAGCAAGCGGTTACTTTTGTAAAAATCAATATCGTCGTATCTTGATCCCTACTCAATGGTCGGCTCTCCTTCACTACTTGAACTACCTCCAAGAGGTTCCAAGTTAAGGATCATCTATACTTTGCTAGCTAGATTTGTGCCAGCAAATAAAGCATTTGGACTTTTCAGTTCAAAGTAACGGTAAAATTTTCATTTTGACGGAAATACGAATGATATATCATGTGTTTTTATAGAAGTGGTGGAAAATTTTACTTTTTAAGTTATTAACTTTTTAACACATATTTCACCATTTATATTGACACGTCGTATACCATTCCGTGTAACGATCATACTGAAAACTGTCTCCAAAGTAACCTCGTCACCACCAGTCCATAACCCAGGCGTCTTCTGCAGACCATGCACACGTAATTCCCTTCCCATGCAGCTTACTCCACGTGTCAATATTGGTTCACAGATTTTTAAATAGAAAACGCCGCTAAACCCTAAACCCCACACCCCGCTGGCTAAAGCAAAGCAAAGAAAGTAAAATTAAGAGAAACTGTCGATGCAGAGGAAGCTGGAAAAAACCCAGCGAGAGAAGGAATGATCAGAAAAGCAAAAGCAACCATGAGGAACAACAGCAACACAGCAAGGAAAAAGATGAGCAGAAGGAAGAAGACGACGACTCACTTCCTCTAATGGCGTTGAACCACGTGTCTAGGCTGTGCAGAAATGTGGAGGAGTCGGTGGATTTCTACACCAAAGTGTTAGGGTTTGTGAAAATTGAGAGGCCGCCAGCTTTTGATTTTGATGGGGCTTGGTTGTTTAATTATGGAGTTGGGATTCACTTGGTGCAGTCTGAGGATGAGGAGAGGCTTCCACATAATCCAGATCACTTGGATCCCATGGACAACCATATCTCCTCCCAGGTTCCAAATGAAATTAATTTAAGTCATTCAACATTTTTTATTGAAAAAAAAAACTTAGATGAATTTAGTTTTGATTAAGAGTAATGCTAGGTAAACTAAATTTGTAGACTAAATTTGTAAACTAAATGATGTGTCACCAACAATAAATAAGCACGTTAACCAACATTTAATGATCCAATCATCAACTTTTATGTCATTTATGTAGACATCGAAATTTCGGTAAATAAATGTTGACCGATAAATCAAAGTGTCAACGCTCATGTATTACATAAATTTTACACGTAGCGTGTGACTCAACGAAAATTGAAATGAGTTGGAAAAGTCATCAAATAGGACACGTGTCAACACCTGGCAGAAACGACTTATTTCATCTGGGATATTATATTCAAAATTAGGCCTTGGAAAATTCTATAAATACAAGCCCATTTCATTCATTTTGAGATGACCAATTCATATTACACCTTGAAGCTCTGAAGCTCTAAAAACTCCGAAGCTCTCAAGCATCCAAGTTCCCGAAGAATCAAGAAAGCTTTCTTCGTTCGTCGTTCATCGTTCTTTCAAGATCAAGCCCCGACGGCCCCTTGAAGAAAGTGTTCTTCGTTCTTCGTTCATCGTTCTTCCAAGATCAAGCCCCGACAGCCCTTGGATCAACCATCCACCAATTCAAGATCAAGCCCCGACGGCCCTTGAAGAAAACACCATCGTTCATCATCCGTTCATCCAAGATCAAGCCCCAACGGCCCTTTGGATCAACAACGTCGACAAATCCACAACATCCAACCGTTCTTCAAGATCAAGCCCAAAAGCCCTTGAAGATCCGTTCATCACTGTTCTTCAAGATCAAGCCCAAAATCCCTTAGAGATCCGTTCGTCACTGTTCTTCAAAGATCAAGCCCAAAAGCCCATTTGAAGATCCGCTCAAATCCACCTTCAAGATCAAGTCCGCGGCCCTTGAAGAAAGTTCATCCTTAGATCAAGCCCAACGGCCCTTTGGATCAATCGCACATCCACAAATACACACCTTACAGAGATCGAATCAGAGGATCAAGATAGAGAGAGATTGTAACCCAAAATCATCAAACACAAATATTTGTTTGTGCACGTTGTTCTTGTCTCTTTCGTTTCAGGAATTTTCCGTGTTCACAAATTGGCACGCCCAGTGGGACAATCTCTGCCTCTCATCTCTTTCTCCGTTCAAGAAATTCAAGCGCACTTCCAAAATTAATGGCATCAAGGAAGGCTCAAACTGTTCCCGCAACCGGCGCAAAGAACAAAAGCGTCATCGTCGCAACTGGTGTCACTTTGGGCATCACGACTCGAAGCATGGCAAGAGCTACTTCTGCCGCCGCCTCTTTTACCTCTGCATCAACTCTGCCAAGGAACAAAAACACCCAAGGCACGAGCCTTTGATCACCTTAGCCTCACTAAGGGCACCAAGGGGGGAAAGCCCAAGGAAATACTCCGAATCCATGCTCTCCGATGCCGATTCAAGCGACAGTTTAGCCATGCAAGTCATGAGACCATTGGAGCAACTTCAATCGATGAGCAGCTGGCTCAAATGAATGAAGCAATCGCAAGGCTAACCCGAACTGTGGAAGAAAAAGACTTGCAGATTGCAGCACTAGTCAACCGACTGGAGGTGCAGGACGGCGATAAACCCGACCCAGAGGATGATCCACTAAAGGGAGGAGCTGGTGGAGACGAAGAACCCCCGGTGAAGAAAATCGATGCGAAGCCGGAGCCAGACCAAGCAGCGGCACTCATGGGATCTCTTTCTATCCAGCAGCTGCAGGAGATGATCACCAACACCATCAAGGCACAGTACGAAGAGAGCTCACATACCTCCTTGTTCTACTCGAAGCCGTACTCAAAGAAAATTGATACCTTAAGGATGCCGAGGGGTTATCAACCGCCAAAGTTCATGCAATTTGATGGAAAGGGAAACCCGAAACAGCACGTTGCCCACTTCGTTGAAACTTGCAACAACGCGGGGACGGAGGGAGACTACCTCGCCAAGCAGTTTGTGCGCTCGCTAAAAGGAAATGCCTTTGAGTGGTACACGGACCTAGAGCCCGAGTCCATCAACAGCTGGGAGCAATTAGAGCGGGAATTCCTCAACCGCTTCTATAGCACCCGCCGCACTGTGAGCATGCTAGAGCTGACGACACGAGCAATGGAAGGAAGAACCAGTCATGGACTACATCAACCGATGGCGTAATCTAAGCCTCGACTGTAAGGACAGACTCTCCGAGATTTCTTCAATCGAGATGTGCATCCAAGGCATGCAATGGGGTTTGCAATACATCCTTCAAGGCATTAAACCGAGGACCTTCGAGGAATTGGCTACTCGCGCCCATGACATGGAGTTGAGCATCGCCCATCATGGGAAGAAAGAACCGATCGCCGACTACAAGAACGACAAAGTTCTTGGGACAAAGGTGGAAAAGGCCGCATGGAAACCCACCAAGGAAGCGATGACGGTCAACACAGCTCCCATCAAAATCTCCACACGAGGCAAGGCGATTCAAACCGAAGCTTTTCGTGATCAAGAGATGCGTAGACGCACTTTGAAGGAGCTTGAGGAGAAGATTTACCCATTCCCCGACTCTGATGTAGTTGCCATGCTGGATGACCTGTTGGACAAGAAGGTGATCAGTTTGCCTGAGTGCAGAAGGCCGGAAGAGATGAATCGTACCGACAACCCAAGATACTGTAAATTCCACCGCTTCATCAGTCATCCAACGGAAAAGTGCTTCGTACTGAAAGATCTCATCCTGAAGCTAGCACAGCAAGGGGAAATCGAGCTTGACCTCGAATACACGGTGGCGGCACACACTACTACTATCGTGTTTGAATCACTCGATCATGTGCATCTCCGAAGCATGCATGATCATTCCCGTCAATGTTCAAGTCACATGGCACCTCCTACACAACCATCACCGGGGGCAAGCAACCAAGATGCATCTACTGGTGATAAGAAATGGCGGACATCGGTGACCTACAAAAAAACGAGGAAGCCAAGACCACAAGCCACAAGGCCAAAAGAGGAGCCTAAACCCGCCCCTCGAACTTCAGTCTTCGAAAGACTGAATTATTCAAAACCTAGAATTGCAGCACTTGATCGCATCAATGGTCGAGACCAAAACTTCTGTCTTCAAAAGGTTTGAGACGCCAACCACCGCAAAGATCAGTCTTTGAAAGGTTATCAAAGCCCAAGAAACAAAGCGGCACAGCTAGATCTCCTCCGCAACGGTCGGCTTTGGACAGACTTGAAGAAACTAAGAAGCTTTCTAGAAACAGGAAGACAACGCCAAAGGGAGAGAAGCTCGACAGTCTAGCAGGAAAAAACGATGTTCAAAAGCTTGATTCCTTCAAGGATGAAGCGCCAAGCAACTTTGGAAGTCGACACCAAAAGGACCACTGAAGGTAAGGAGGCGCACCATCATCTACACCGGCCAATCTTCACGGCAACAAACCCAAGATGACCGCACTGAAGAGAAGGCCCGAGAAGACAAAGAAGACGAAATCCTGGAAGAAGACGTCACTTCCGGCTCTGTCAACTCAAAATCTTCACCTCAATCGCTGGGGGCATGCTCTAAAAACATGCCAGTCAAGCCGAGTGAAGTTGAAAGATGGACTTATGTCACTCCGAAGAAATTGCACAAAAAGCATATGTCTTCTCCACAAGCTCACAAATGGGAAAGGGGGCAAAACAGCTCATGTTCACCTTTAGAACAATGTGAAAGTGTTGGAGATAATGAAACTTTGACGAGAAGATCATCCATCCCCATCACGATGTGTGACATCTTCCTAGAAGACTTATTCAACTACTCAGTCAAGGCTCCTTGCTATGAAGATTGCGAGGAACGACTCTCTCAGATCGCTTGACGAACCAAAGCTCCTTGTCCGCACGAGCCTAAACTGCAAGACACAAAGCTCCTCGCCTGCATGAGCCTAAACTGCATGGCACAACGCTCCTGGTCTGCACGAGCATAAAAGGCAACACCAAAGCTCCTGGTCTGCACGAGCATAAAAGGCAACACCAACGCTCCTTGCCTGCATGAGCTAAAACTGCAACACGGCACCAAATGCTCATTGTCTGCATGAGTTGAAACTGCAAACGACACCAACACTCCTTGCCTGCATGAGCTGAAACTGCAAACGGCACAAAAAAAAAAAAAAAAAAAATCCAAAAAAATATGTATTTGAACTACGTTACGACTTGATCTCTTCTTTGGAGGGGTACGTAGGCAGCTTGAATATTCAAAATTTCGAGTTCAGTCACATCAAAATAAAAAAAAAATGTTTTATTAAATAGAGTCAATTTTATTAAAAAAAAAGAAAAAGAAAAAAAATGAATACATATGTTATTATGTTTACACAAATGCAAAAAAAAAAAAAAAAAAAAAAGATACATTTTATGTATTTAAAAAAAAAGAGAAAAAAAAATACATATGTTTTATGTATTAATAAAAATAAAAAATAAAAAAAATGTATACATATTAATGTGGGTCTTCCTACACTTAAGACCCGTGCCAAATCAAATAAACACAAGTTGAAGTCCACAGAAAAGAGCAGCCCAAATGACAGGCCCATCCTCACTTGTGTCTCGGCCCAGCAGCAGAAAGCTCAATTCATAGGCCCAGTCCCACCACCTGCAGAAGACGGATCAGGTTGAGTCCAGAGACACAGAGACAGCGCAGAGCAACAGCAGCTGCGGATAAACCAATCAGAAAACCCGAGTCAGAGTTCCAGAGCCGACTCAGTTGAGTGAGAGAATGAGAGATGCTTCTAGTGCAGAAGCAGCATCAGCAGCAAGATAACGATGCAAGGACTCCATCACCAACAGCAGCAACTCGCGGCGTTTCTCTCCGTCGCCATCCCCAAGGACGATTCCACCTCCTCTCCAACCTCACTCGACCCGTCCGAGTTCCAGCTGGCCCAGTCCTACCGCGTTGTCCCTGCTCCACTCTGACACTCCATCCTCAAGTCCCTCTGCG